GTTTCTGTCTGGAGTTGTTTCGTGTAGCATCATTTGCAAACAGTATATTAGATTTTAACAAAAACAAAACAGCAAAAAAAACCAAAAAACCAAAAAACCCACCACTCTAGCAAAGACTAAAAAGAAGGAGTGAGGCTTGAGAACAAYATACACTTTCAGCATGAAACTGCCATGATATCATTCTCTGCCTTGCCAATATTTATACTTTGAGTACTGGAGTGGGGAGGAGAGAAGGAAACAGAAACAGGGTTCTTTGTAGCCTCAAGAAATGCCAAATTTYCCTTCTCCCTCTTGCCTCCCAGTAAATCACGAGGAAGCTGTGAAGTAAAATGAACCAAGGAATTTGCATGAGCACCAGTGAAATTTCTGAAAACCTGGGGTTTTTTTGCAGCCTAACATTTTAGTTGATTTATGTGAGCTGGAATTCTGAATGCTGCTGTGGTTCTACACCTTTGACACAACAGAAATCCCTTTAAAAGAGAATTTAAAATGAAAAATATTTMAAATATTTAAAATACACACATYTTGACTGGGAAACTTTTTAGGTTAGGAATTTTTAAACCCTATCATACAGTAAAAGGAATTAAATTTATTGTTCAAAACAAYATTTGAGCATTATCTTCAGCTACAACATCTGACATTAACTGGGTTTATCACAGGCCAGCTAATGGGAACATGTTTCTCAGGTCCAACATTGAAAGTGAAACCTGAGCTGTAAAARTAATAACTACTTCTTTTTTTCTTTTAAATGTGTTCCCTTGATGGAAAACCTGGAGGTATTTTGGAGCCAGTTTAGGTAAGCTCAAATATCTTCCAGAAGAAGCAACATGCTAGAGCAAAATGGCATCAAAATGTTAAATATATTATTAAGTTTTAAAGAAAAATGAAACTATTCTACTGGAAAATAATTTTGTGACTTAGCTGGGTCATCTTTAAGTGATCTATTAATATAAATATTAATATAAAACCAGGCTAATAGAATGGGACCTGGATCAGTTGGTTTCCAAGCCAAAATTCCCTGGGTTCTCCTGTTTTTTAATCTCCCTGCCACACCACATATCCACTGTTGCTCTCATGGAGAGATTCAAAATTGTGTCTGGGTTCCAGATCAAAATTCAAATGTGTAGAGATCAAGCATTATACCCCATCTCATTCAAAAGGGAAAATAAAAATTAAAAATTCAGGAAAGGATGGGTTTCAGATCAGGGGTTACTGGGGCAGAGCACAGATGAGGTAGAAACCAGTTCCTATTTACAGTATTATTCACAAAAAGTCATTTCAGTATTACTTACAAAAGCAATCACAACTCAGTAAGCAAAGTTTTGAGCAAACACACCGTAGGTTATTTATTCTCCAGCTGTGTCAYAAAAATGAGTCAGTGCTGATTAACAGGAAAATATTTTCTCCTGTTAATGAGTGACATAATTTTCAAAGTGGAAGGCAGCAGACATTGGCAATTCACTTCAAAGTAAAAAAAAAAAAAAAAATGAAAGAAAAAAAACAAACTTTACCCTGATAAAAAGGATCTTCTCTCCAACTCTGTATCTTCCCTGTGAAAGACGCTCCACACAGAACTTGGTGGGGCATTTACAAGGTGGATCTTCAGAAATGTGTTTAACCTGGAAAACAAGAAGTTATTAATAAAAACTGCTTAAAATAGCATGGATAGCAAAATATTCAATAGCATTTTTGCTATAATAAATACATCACTTAATGGMTGTATTAATAAGACTTAATTGATGTGTATTTTTCTCACGTTTTCTTACTGTTTCTATAATCTCAGAAAGCACCATAAGGTGCTATCATTCTAACAGCAATGATTTAGCAGCTGAGTTAAAAACAGAAACAAATGTCACACAGTTCAACACCAAATTCATAGTGTTTAAATGAAGACAAACATTTTGTTATGTGGAGCTCAGCAYCAAACTTTTGTAGGTGTGTTCTCAGTATTTGATGGTGAATCAGCTCAAAGTGCTAACACAGCCAACAGGCAAAATGAAGATGTCACCTTTTTTAGAAGGTGCATTCTACCTTCTAAATAGATATAAATATAGAGGCATCTCCCAGAGTTCATCTAAGGAACCAAAATCCCAGAGTAGCTGGGCCTAAACAAGTTCAAGATTGTTTAGAAGTGAGTAAGGGAAATAGAGCCATCTTCAGCCAACAGATTTATTCTGGTGTAAAACAGAGGATAATAAGACCTTCAGTGCTGATCCTGCTCTTGAGGCTTCCACTGCCTAACTCTCCCAAAGGACACAGAAGCATTGAGTGGAATTTGGAAATCAAATAAGGAAGCAGAGGGAGGAATTATGTTCTATTTTATTTTGTGTCTGGAGTACATGAGCACTGCTGCTGTTTTATGGAGTGAGTGTCTGGGGCAGTGCAGGTCAGGAATCTGGYTGGGTAAATTCCATTCTGCTTCTATCCCTACTGCTTTCTAAATTAAAGGAGGTGGGAAGAGACAACCTGCACACACACTGTTTAATTTCTGCAAGATACACCATCACCATCCTCCTTCCACACGCAACTGTTCCTTCTCAATTCTGCCAAAACGTGAATGCTTTTGTAAAGTTAAGGAAAAAAACACAAACCAGAAAATTTTCAATTTCATTATATGCATCAAATAAAAAAAAAATAAAAAAAAAAGCTTTTCAATAAAAGGAACGAGCATTATATTCCATCTGCTCTTTGTAACAGCAAAGTGGCACATGGATTTTTCAAGAAGTGCTTTGTAACTCCCAGGTGGCACATCTACCTTGCAATGTAGTRGTTGCTATGGCAACTCCTTCTTTTTACAGGCCAGATTTGTACTTTTCAAATTTAACCTCTTCATGGTCTCAAAATGTGTATTTTCATCCCATTCCTGYGGGTTTGCACCAGAAACTCCAACACTCAGAATGCTGCAACAAGTTTAATGAAATTCAAAGCAAGATACTTTTGTTCTAACAAAAAAAGGAAAACAATGCTTGGGATTTTTTTTTATCATGTGAGAATCATCCAGAACAGCATAAAAATTAGGCTGAAATATCTCAGAAATGTTTTTTAGCTTTCAGTACATATCAGTATGAGCCAGATCTTGTCCTGACTCAGTCCTTGCTCAGACAAAGCACCAAGTGGGAGTTGGTAAATAAGGAGTAAAAGAGGAGTAAGAAGGGAATGTGGCCCTAAGCACAAAGCTGCTGAGCTCCTACACAATGCAAATATTTCTTTTCCTAAGCTTCCAACCTAAATAAGTCAAAAATGAATTTACTCTGTAAGTCTTCGAATGTTTAGAACAGTTGAGATGTTATCAAAACTTRTGTTTTGCAAGTAAATGCATATCAGAATGAACAAGAGAGGAAGAAGCTTCATCCCACAACTTACAGCATCATCCAACAGTTTCCCTGTGCTCTTTTTTCCAGGAGATTTTGTGGGTGATGGCGAAGGAGATGGAAGGGGAGCTGAAAGTGTTTCCTCTTGTTCAATCTCTTTTTCCAATTTGATTAATCCAGGAGGCTCCACCCCAAACCTTTGGGAAACATGTGAATAATAAATCATCATCTACATAAAGATTGTAAAACAAAWGGGTGGGAAGAATTTCTACTTTCTGTGCAATAATGGTACAGGCATTAATAAACATGTATAAAATATACCAAGCATTACTGCCATCATTTCAAATTAATAGAAAAAMTTAATGTAGATGGAGTCTCTCAGTTAATCAACCTTATAGGAAATACAGGTGTTTTTTCAGCTTCTCTGACTGATATCATATATTTTGGAGAACKAGACCTCAAAAATTGCTATACCATGCAGGACAGAGTCACGTTCAGTACATTTGCTTTATTTTTATTTTATTTTTTCTTTCCCAACAGCATCTTTCCGAACTACCTGACAACTTATATTTTGGGCTGATGTTTTTCAAAGAAATCCATATGAAAAGGGATTAAGGCTTTTCCTGATCTCAGCCATTGTACTGAATTTAYAGATAAATAAACTGAGACACTG